TCTGCCCTATATAGTGCGTATTTTTGATAATTCCCTCAGACGCTTAGAGATTAGCTACTATTGAGGATTGCGTAGTTTCTTCCATGATTTCAGAAATTATTATAACTTACGGATGCTGAAAAAAGTTAAATATACATAACAATGAAATATACATTGTGGTAAAAATGTCTTCTAATGGGAGAAAATCAGAATCGGTCAATGTATTATTATGTAGCAATATTATGAATGCAATATGTTCACATGTACATATGTTGTCATATATGTTTGATTATTGTGTAGTTTTAAATACCTGCACCAAGCCGTACATTACTTGTATTTCATCCATAGGTTACTGCGAGTAAATTACTGGGTATTGATTTTGCCACTGGTGAAGTGCTTGAGGGCGAGGGTAGACCAGAAAAATCAGCGTCTGAAATCCACCGTGCTGTTCATAACGAAAGACCCGATATACGATGCGCTCTGCACACACATCCACCATATACAACAGCATTAAGTGAGTATTTTATATAACCTGCCGGAAGTGTGTAAAATTTGATTTTCGGGAATCACCCCTCCCATGGAATCAGTCAAATTCCATGAATAAAATGTTTATTTCAGATTTGTTGAAGGAACCATATCTAAGCTGTTCGCAACAACACTCTCTTCGTTTTTATGATAACATCGCGTACGACAGTGAGTATGATGGTTATGCTACAAGTGGGGAAGAAGGACCACGACTTGCCAGAGCGTTGGGTAAGAAAAGAATTCTAATGATGGGTGGCCATGGACTGATGGTCGTATCACAGACTGTATCTATGGCATTTGACGAAACATACTATATGGAGAGAGCTGCCATGTTTCAGGTAAATATAACAGATGTTGGAAGTATTTAATCTTTGTAGCACAATATTTATCTCACTACATTATTTTGGATATTTCATGATGGTTTTGGATCAAACAGACTTAGTTGACTACTGGCCATCGTAATAATTATTGAAAACATAAGAATATTTATTTGTGGAAAGTGGCAGAAGTGGAATAGTTAAAGTGCAGTCATCGTCGCGCTGCGCATGTGCGACATTTGTGTTGATAAAGATTGATTTTCCCACAATCCAATGCGCTCTTCTAATGGAAATCACAAGTATGAGGTTTGACCTGGGCGCTACTTGCACTAATTACCGCCGATGACTCCTTCGATACATTCATCTAAAATACCCAATTAAAGCTGGGTAACGTCACAGTTTGTACTCGTTAATCTGCGTAACAGTCAAAGTTGCCATCTTTGTTTATATGAGACCCATATATATCCCGCGCATGCGTGGCCCGACGACTACCGCCATTTAATAATAATATTGTGTATGTGTATAACTACCGTTTAGTATAGGTCTTACTCATAATATCAAATATACTAGTACATAGCAAATATTACAGATAATAGAACCGAATAAATCAATTATTTTACTGAAGGATAATTACATTTCCACTTCCTTTCTAGATACTAGCAATGTCCACTGGCAAGGAACTCCTCGAAATCCCAGAGGAAATAGCGAAAAGAACAAAAATAGAAGCAGACGCCACTTTTCAGGCGTATGCTGACGCCCACTTCAATTCGATCAAGCGTTTACTGCTTAGTGAATCACCCGACTTTATGTCCTAAACAAGGTGTATGGAATATATCGAATTCGACGATTACATACAGAGAACACTGTGGCAATAAATAAGAATATAAACAAGTTTAACATACGTAATACCCCTAGCAAAAAATCTAATTTCTAACATTTATTGACAATGAAAACTGATCAGCAGCCGAGAGCTCGCATGTCTTACGATTTACCACCGCCACACGTAGCGTTCGAAAGCCAAATCAGCTTTCGTATTCTGCATAGGTACTTGAAGTTTGTCTTTTGATGGACATGTGAGGAAACCAGGTATGTAAATGACAATCTTGAGCTTCAACCTGAGCTTGCTCACAGTAAACTTGAGCGCCATCCTAAGCATTAACTTGAGCTTGGAATATTGTTTACAGCAGAAGCTGAAAACTAAGTTGGAGCGCCGGTTAAGAGCTCCAACCTGAGCGTCTAAGAACAAATCATAAACATACTCGCCAGCGAAATCACGCACAAGTCTCTTACTGAAAATATTTGATTAGAGAGGAATATTTTGTAAGCAGGCCGCTTGGAATATTGAAGAGAGTCGGGCGCGACATAGAAGATACAGCCTTTTGAAAATCATTCATATCAAATACCATGTCATATTTGTTTATTTTTATACTATAAAACGCAGTTCTTCCACACGTATAAAACATTTGTCCTGTTTTTATGCTAAGCTTTATTTCTGCTATTACAATTTCATTTCAATATAAAATGTCTACAATCTGTTTCCCCATACATACACTACAAGTAGAACATTAGGAATATTCTAAACATGTTTCGGAGAGAAGTTTTATACTATACACGGCGAAAAACAAAAACTGGAAAACTTCGATGATGTTATGGCGACGATTTTTAATTATTCTCAAGCCAGTTTATAAAAGCTCATTGCATGAAAGGTAATAAAATTAACGACGCATCGTGACATGTTTACATGAGTTTGAGAAAAAACTAACGAAAACGCCCAAATAGTCTACCAACGGCTAATTCTAAACAATATTTCAAGCTCAAGTTAAAGTTCGTGGTGGTGCCCAGGTTTACACTGAGTAAGCTCAGGTTGAAGCTCAAGATTTCCATTACATATCTCAGGAAACGCACGAAATTATGAAGTTACAACGAACAAGGACAATTTAGCTTTAAATGTTGTGTGTGTTTTATCTACTTGGTTAGACAATCGTTGAGTGTTTATACAGGACAAAATGGTAAACTTTAAGCGGGGATTCCCGGTCAATATGCTGCCTATAAAGCAAACTAATGGAATTACGGTTTAAGGGATACTTACTAATCGCAATACTTTGTCATCAGTAATCTAAGTTGCATTTTGTATAGTATTTACAATGAAGTAGTCGAGGTCCCGTACGGCTTTACACAGAGATGGGCGTTACTAGTCAGCAAGACATACTAACTCATTCCGGACACCTGTTATCACCACAGATAAATCAGTAGCTTACGATGGCCTGTTCTCTGTTTTGTAAGGCATAGAACACCCCACCCGTGACACAACCATTTACCAACAAGAGATACATATAGACTTTACCAAACAAAATATTTCGCTTCTGGTACAGTCATGATGATTGTAGAAATAATGGTGTCGTTTACCACGAGGGCACTGCGACCCCAAGATAAACATGCGGCTTTCCAATAATGCACGGGAAAAAAGTTGTAAAAAGGTCATAGAAAAAACACACACACCAGTATTTTGCATTGAAGAAGCTTATTTATACCGCTTTTACTGAGTGGGACAAACAGCACGGTGCGAGATTTCCTGTGCTGCATTAGATGTGTTTATGCTGCATGTTTTGTGAAAGACGAGTGATATAAAATATACATGTATATAAATTGTTGCATACACTTGGGAGGTGTTACAACCACTTAAAACTGCATTTCCTTTAACAAAAGATATTTTCCTTAAAATTAGGTAACGTTTTAGAAGATGACAAATTGGATTAGAGCACGTTGTTTGTAAAGTGATTAAAAATGTTAATTGTTTATGGAATAAAATTACACCATCTTGGAATAATAAGCGTAATAAATTGTCGCAACAAAATGATGAAAATGACAAAAAAACAACAATTATAAAATGTTTAGCTATATGCATTACATTCAACGTAAACATTTCTCACGGTCGTAATTGCAGTATTTTATCCTAGATGTGCTCGCGTTGATTGTCATGTCGGAAATGGCATAACGAAATGTATATTTATGAACATGATAGTAAATCTTCCAAATGACGTTTGCGTATGAGAATTAACACGTACCCATCGTTTGTTAGACCGTGCTAAGCGTTTGCGCACTTTTTTAGCACGGGCTAAACAACCAATATTGATATAATATGGGAACAGTTTCACTAAAGACTTAAACATTCCAACACAAAAAGGAAAATATGATAAATATGGTTATTTCAAAGGCTCGCTATATTTTTGCAAAGCTTGATTCCTGTACTTCCGGTCATGTCACACAATCATTAAATTGAAAAGTTATTGAAATTTTTCATACATGTAATCTTACTGATTACTGAATAAATGAAACAAGAACTTCACATGCATAATATTTTTTTACTGAAAGACATCATATACTGACAATTATTACATAACAAGAAAACATTCTATAATAAAATACAAGTATAAAGAACACAATATAAAGAATAACTGGTGATGCAAGTACCAACTACTGTCAGTTATTCACTGCGCAACTGACATTGTTTAATCTGATTATCTGATGGTGTCGCATTTAACAAAATATCAAGACCAGTTGTCCGGAAAATGTCAATCTATCGTCGCCACTATATAATGAATGTAATGTTCTCTAACTAGTTTATGTTGTACATAATTATAGAAAATATCTCGTGAGTGACATAATATCAAATTTATGATTCGATTCTGAAATAAAAATTACTACACATATAATACATATGATCTTACATGGTTACGACTTTGATTTCCTGTTTTCCTATTTATCCTTTTCGAAGCCTTTTCATTTAAACCAAACACTAGGACGAAAACGTAATTTGTGAGCGCGTGTCATTTGCATATTAAACAGCCGACGTTCATAAACCGCTCACGTACGTATGAAATAGACCATATGTTTAGTGGCCATTACCACGAATAGCGTTACCAACAAATACTTATACAAAGACAATCTTATATCTACTGTGTGAAAATAAAACGAAAAAAAGTCTTGAATAGTTTTTGCATTTTCAAATCTGCGACACAGATTATTATTGACAATTTTTAAACGTTTGTCACTTCAGAAATTGATTTAAATTGAAATACAAAATATACACGACGTCAAACATCATTATGCCATATACAACGGGTTTCCATTGATGAATACCTACTAAAACAAACCTATGAATTTAAAAACAATCAGCGACACTCATTTTACGCTTCGGTTACGGTAAATTTAGATTTATACTCCAAACTATTTACTCGTATCAAAATTATTATGTAATAGATAATTATAGAAGTTTTCGTTGGATAAGAGATAAATCGTTGCATTAGATCTTATTTTCATATTTTCAGAAATCAATGTTATGTATGTCCTCACAAAACAAATTATATTTTTTCAGTCTGGGTATAATTTTTGATTAACAACATAAGCGACACTAAAATAGATGTGAACAAACACTAATTTATTGTTATTTTCTGCTATATTATTATTTTCTATATACGAAATTCACGCATTTTCCAGACCCTGCTTAATCATGTACAAAAGAACAAGTACAGTTCCTTGAGTATATGTATGTAACAAATTTTCCCGGCCAACATGCTCGTCTATAATCGTGACGGGAGACGTATTATTTTATGTTGCGAGGATTCTTACAAAACCATGCAACACCAATCACCAGTGCCACCACCAGAATCATGGCGCCTACAGACAAACCGATCACCAAATCAATCGGAGTATCTTTTGGATAAAACAAAGAAAACAGAAAAATAATTTTAGCAAAAAATTAAGTCTATTAATGTATATTGCCATATATAATACTCGATTTAATACTGTGAATGTATTAAATAAACAAAACAAATCCGAACATGTACTGCTAAATACAGGGTCGCATACACGTGTATAATATATATATATATTATAAATAAGTAGAACTGACGAATACATTCAAAGTTGATAAAGACAATTTTATGATAATCTACTTACCATCCTCAACAGTCCAGCTGTCCTGGGATGTGCCTGGAACACACTGCATTGTATAGTCACTGGGATGGTACTGACCAGATGAGTAACAATGGCCATTAATTTGACACGTATTTTTCTGGCAAAATAGAAAGATGGTATATACAGACATTTTTATGACGTTTTAATTCAATAAATATTAGATGCATCCAGCAATCGACATCGAGATTGAGAGCGAGGGAGCCACTATCTTGGTTTTGCCAATCAAATACTGTTTTCTCGATTCATAGCATCCTCTTTTTCCCTAACCCTTGAACGCACGGTATTTGGCACAGCGGACGCGATGGCAGCAGAAAGTGAAACATTATTTGATGGGCGGATCGAACGCGTCTTATTACATGCCTAGTGACAATTTCGGTGTCGTTAGTGGTACACATGGCGACGTTCGTCTAGAGCAGGAATCGACAAATTTATTTCGCGTAAGGTTTGGATGATTTTATATACATTCTGACAGTCAAAGTCAGTATAAAAAGTTGAACTGAATAATCAATAGGAAGCACTAATTACTTGACAAGGCCTTAGAGTAAAGGTCGAATAGGGACATTACGATCACGACCTTCCTTTTTACACTTGACCCGAAGATTTATGATCTAACTTACCTTCATCCTACACATTCCATTGCCGTTACAAAGGATACATCTGGAATCGTACGTCGTCAATACCATTCCATTACTCAATGTAGTTCCCATGTCATTGCTCACATATACCATCACAGTAGCGAACGTTGTACCTTTTTCTTCCGAGTGCGCAATGGTTACAATGGGTTCTGATAATTGACAATGTACTTCTCGGAAACTCATGAAAATCGTCTCTGTTTGATGTAAGTTATCAACTGTAGTTTCTGACCAATTGCCATTGACAAGCTGTAATACGATCAACAAGGTTTAGCAGACTGTTTACACAGAAACAAATTAGTCTTCATATACTAGTAAACTATATTTATACTTATCTATCTGCTGTTGAAACATGAACATGTTCGCTAATTGTAAATGATGCATTTCTATGGCATTATAATTTGTTGTTGAACTTATTTATCGTCAATTATCATTGGAAGAAATGACGTCAGAACACATTGATAACGTATGGCTGAATCACTGATAAGATTCGTCACGATTTTACATGAAAAAACAATAACTCGTGAATAGTATACGATCATGATGATAAACCAATATTTACCTCAGTGATTGCGTAATGGCATGACAAAGCATTCGAGTTGAGTAAATTATCGCCGATTAAGGAAACAAGTTGACAATCTTCGTTGCGTGCATCACACATTCCATGGTGACGGTCGCCTTTTATCCATAGCACACTGGGCGGTTGTGAGAGAACAACAGAGCAATCAGCGCCGCCATATCCTGTAGTAGATCCGTGAATAGACACGAGATGATAACATTTATTACATAAAACAGTATTGACCACTATATGTAGCTATTATCAACATACAAAGAATGTCAAACTTTAGATCGGATTCTGTGAGGCGCGTCTTCTATCGATAAAGATTTTGCGTGACGTAAACAGGTCGTTCATGGCGCCCATATACCACAGACTAATTAGCGCGGATCAGGCGCAGTTCTTCAGTTAAATAAAACTTACCTTCGTTACAATGGCATGCCCCGTTCATGCATCTACCGTGTTCACTGCATTGTGTGTAGCAACGTGATTCAAACAGAGCAGATGGCGGCATATAGGTTCCATTCACTGAAATAAAATAATTGTATATACCGAAACCCATGTATATATGTTATCATAGGCACATACTAAATACTTTCGCCCTCTAGCGGCGAAGTGAATCTATCAGGTAAAAGAATTGCCATGATGCACAGCTTGCTATTGTTTTGATCTCAAATCGTCCGCCAATAAAACATAATAGTTTTGAAAATTTTACTCCATTCAAAATGACGAACGACTATACAATCAGAAATAATTTAATGTGTTTTGTATATCAGATAAAGAGTTTAAAAAAACATCGTCTTTTTTAGAAAGGATGCAGAAACCCCCGAAACAAAAAGCCGTGTATAAGGTGCATAAAGAATGTGTTAGAAAATAACTCCCCCGCCATCGTGCGATCGACAAC